CAATCTTGACTCATTCCTTGGGCTGTTTGCCAGCTGCATGGTGGTCTAGAGTCTCCTCAGCTGCTGCCTCACCCGGCGTGCACAGAAGGAGCATGCAAGCAGCGCGGAGAGTGGCAGAAGTTCCTGGTTTTTAAGCCTCACTCCTCCTCTTTTCCCTTGTGCTCACAAGCTCAGGTGCTCCCGCCTTTGGCACTTGCAGATTTAAATCCCACAAGCCCTGCCAATTTCAGTTCCTTGCTTTTGCAAACCATTTGCACACTTTCTTGTGAAGCCTGCCCTGCTTCTCCTAGGAAGCTTCATTATGTGAGTAATAAAACTTTCATACCCTCTTGGGATGTGTGTATGTGTGTGTGATCATCAGTCTTAATATGCCAACCAAATTTTATGGGTAGTACCTGCAAATTGGAAAAGAAATGGGTATCACTATTTCCAACAGTTAGGAATAGGTACCGATGTCTTTTTTCACAGGTGACATGATCATCTATGTAGAAAATCCAATGGAACCTCCAAAATTGTAGTAGAAACACTAAGTGACCTTAGCAAAGTAACAGGCTACAAGATCAACGTACAAAAATCAATTGTATTTCTATATGCTGGCAAGGAACAATTGGAAATTGAAATTTTTAGAAATGCCATTTACAATAGCATCAAAAAATCTGAAATATTTGGGGATAATTCTGACAAAAGATTTCACTACCTTCAAAAACTACACAATATTCCTGAGAGAAATGAAAGAGGATCTAAATGGAGATATATACTGTGTTCATGGGTCACAAGATTCACCATTTTAAAGATGTCAATTCTTCCCAAATTCATCTGTATTTTCAACACAATCGCAATCAAAATCTCAGGAGTTTTTTTTTTTTTTTTCCATTCCTGTTTTTTGGTATAAATTGACAAATTCCTTCTAAAACCTTTCCGAGGTGTTCACCTAAAAAAAATGAAAATCTAGTTCACACAAAAAACTTTACACAAATGTGTACAGCAGCTTTAGTTATAACAGCCAAAAGTTTAAAACAACTCATGTTCTTCAATGACTGACTGACTAAAGAGAGTGTAGTACATTCACACTGAATACTACTCAGCAATAAAAAGGAATGAATTACTTACACATGTAACAACATATCTGAATCTCCAGGGAATTAAGCTGCATGAAAAACCAATGCCTATATTACATATTTTATCATTCCATTTATTTAATATTCTTGAAAGGTAAAATTACAGAGATGAGAGAACAGATTAGGGTTGCCCGGCCTTAAAGAGGAGGCTGGGGGCAGAAATGACGTAGGGGTGGCTATAAAAGGACACATGAAATATCTTTGTAATGATGAAAATATTTTAAATCTTGACTGTGTCAATGTCAATATCCAGGTTGTGATATAATATATAATATTATATATAGTTTTGGGAGATGTTGTCATTGGGAGAAACTGGATAAAGGGCACATGGGATTTCTGGATTATTTCTTACAACTGTATGCAAATCTAGAATTATCTCAAGTAAAAAATTAAAATTTAAAAAAAGTTAGGCCAAAAAGTAAATAAATTCTAAAGTGGTAGACCAAAACCCAATTACACTAAATATAAATTCACTAAATATGTCAAATTAAAGAGTAAGATTGTCATTATTTTAAAAATAATGCTGTTTAATAACATACACACTTTAAAAAATAAAACAGGTTAAAAGCAAAAGGGTAGAAAGAGATAAACCATGCACTAACCAAAAGAAGGATGGTGAAACTATAGTAATATCAATATAGACCAGACCAAAAAAAAAGCAATTATTATAAAGAGAAAATTCTATAAGAGCCTGTTGGATCAATCCATAAGAAAAGTTACAACTCAAAATATATATCATCCAATAAGAGAGCTTCAAAATATGTAAAGCAAAGTTAACAGTAGTCAAAGGAGAAATAAACAAATCTACAAGCATAAAAAATCAGAAAGCTGGACGGACATAGAACAATTAATTGTTCTTTTATCATCTCTTAATAAAATGATAAGCAAAAATAATTCTTACAGTAGACAGAAAAAAATTACTATTGGTAGAGACAAAAGACAAGCAAAACTTATGTGGAGGACTTGTTCTTATGTAGTGTTTGACTGGGAGTCTCTTGTCCCTTCTTAGATATATATTCACACTTCTCTGAAAAAATGCCCTTTATCACCTAGTGAAAAGAAGACTATCTTCTACTGCATCCTGGAGGCAACATAGTCATGTGGCCTTTATATAGCTTCATGGTAAGCTTATGAGTCAGAATCCTCTCTGATACCTTCAACAACCACAAGGTCCTGATATTTAGCATGCTGTAGTCTGCAGCATTTTGTTCTTTGTCAACATACCATAGCAGAAAAACACTGGGTTACTGTTTTCATAGACATTTTCTCCATTTTAGTCTCTACTGCAAAATTATTGCAGTCTTCAGTTTTCATTGTCAATAGTTCTTTAATTTTTCTGGAGTCAGAGCCAAACGCACATGAAATGCTGAAAAAAAGAGTGAGATTTTTGAAGCAGAAGTGACATATAGCCTGCTTTGTTAGATTTTTAGGTTTTTGCTCCTGGTTATTTCTCTACTTTCCCCCGTAGACTTTCCACTCTCGACATGACCTTTCCATTTGATAGCTCAATGTCTTTGCCCTCTTCAACAGTATCTTTCTAAATTACCAGTATCACCTTTGTCCATGTAACACACACTGAATATGGAGTAACACAGAATTAAAAAGCATGGGTGTTTCAGTAATATGGATCCACAAAGCTCTAAAATTCCTCCCATTTAATATCTTGGTGACTGTGGTTTATTGGTAACCTTTAAGTTTCAATATTGTAACAGGGGCCAGTCAGAAACGCAGAAACACACAAAGAATTAACACAAGGACACTGTCTCTGAAAAAACCGCAGGATCGGAATCAAACGGTCACAAGAACATACAACGCGACCATGGTCACACAGATGGTCGCGAATTCGCATGACCTCCAAAGTCACTGGATCTCAGAGTCTCTCGACTCCGCAGACACCCTACCCCAAGTTCCACGGCCGATATCTCCCACACACGGTCACACAACGCCACTCCTCTCTTTTCTGACTGCCGCCAGAAGCTTGAGGCTCAAGCTGGCCCGTCTAGTCCCTCCACGGGCCCCTAATTTTTTCGCCCACCTTCACCCCACTGAAGTCCGGGAGGGGCCTGGACCAGACGGAACTACACCGACTCAGCGGCGCTTCCTTCACGGATCATGCACCATAACCCCGGGAACAGGAGACCCAGCCAACCATAAGGAGCAAGAGACTTTTCGCAGAAAATTGACTTGGCCGTGAAGACCTCTGGGAAATGTAGTTCGTATCCTAAAGTTGTGAACCCTTTCAGATTCTTCTCAGCACCAAGTTGCACTCCCGGGCTCCAAGTGGAGTGCCCGGCTCAAGCGAAGCAGCTGCCGCAAAACTCAGCTGAACCTCCTCGGCAGATCTGGACGTCCTTAAACGCAGCGGTAGATTATTCCCGCTACTCGCCGGCAGGGAAGCCGACCCGCCCCCCCGTGAGCCGCGGGGGCCTCTGGGAAGCGTTCGCCGGCGTCTAACGGACCGGAGCTCGTGCTGTGCCCTCAGGCACCGCAGGCGCTGACCTTAGAGGCGTCACAGACTCGGTCCGCACCGGCGGTGCCACTTGGGCGGCACTGAGGTGTGGAACTGTGCCTGTCTCCGTGGGTTCGCTGGTGAGTCTCCGGGAGGCCGCGAGCTCTGAGTCCGGGACCCTTTGTGCTGGTTGGGAGTATGGGCCTGCGGACCCGCTGCCTGTGGTACTGGAGGAGGATGCCGGCGGGGCTGTGCGGGTGCGGCTGGTTCCCCGAGGCGGTGGGAGGGGCCCGTGAAGGACTGGGAGTGTAGCGTGATGTGACTGTTTGCCAGACATTTGTTTGCGACTGAGTGTGGCCGTGAGACCGTGTGTGAGCGGATTTGGGGGACGTGCTTTTCCTTCTGTTTCATTATGAACGTGGATGCGAACGTGCGTGATGTGGGACCGTGAGTGCTTGAGAAGCTCCGTGGAGGAAAGGTAGAGCACGGCTGTGTGTGTAGATTTGTGCGGCTTTTTGTACCAGGGCTTCATTTCTTTGGTTTATGGTAATTGAAAATACGTTTTTATGAGAGCTACCAATAGCCCCAACACTTTTAGTATTTATTTATCTTAAATTTTATTTTTGTGTATTCGCCACGTTGTTTTATGTGCGTACTAACTTCTTGCCCCATGCCCCCGACTACCCGCCCCAAATCACAAAATATAGAAAAGCTCAAAGAAAATAAAAATCATTCCGAATTCTGCTAGCAACTATCAAAATTTACTTACCATCTTTACCCCCTCTGTGAATACATACACACCCATTCATTTATTAACACATATGTGCATAATAGCTTGGAAATTGTTATTACACTATACATACAGTTCTGTAACCTACCTTTGTCATTTAACAATACACCGTATCTTTCCATTTAAATTTATGTCGTCATTTTAAAGTTTTTCATGCTATACATTTTAATATATTTACCCCTGTTGATGGGTAATTTGTTTTATCCAGTTTCTTGCCATTATGAACAACGTGTTTATCAGCAATTAGTTGTCATATGTTATAATGCGCTTTTCTAATTTGTGGGGGGGAGGGGACAGGTTCCTAGAAGTGTAACTGATTGGGCAATATGTATGTGTTTATTAAAGATTCTCTAAGTCTATCCAATTATTCTCCTGTAAGGTTCAAATAATTTACACTATTATTGGCATAGTATAAGATTGCCTATATCCATACACCCTGATAACAATGGTTATCTGCTCTTAGTAATTTTTGCTAACTTCATAGATATAAAATTTTCTTAATTTGCAGTTGTTTGGTTATTACTGGTCAAGCATTTTAAAAATCTTTTTTTGTGTATGTGAATTATGTATTTCCCAAAATGTTCTTCTAAAGCAGTATTCTGTTTTCAAATTTATTTTCTAGATTCTTCAGGTATTCATTTATTCATCAACACCATTTATTGACTGCTATCTGTGTGACAGGAACAGTTCTAGATGCTTCAGGTATAGCGCTGAACAAAAGAGAAACACTCTGCTGTCATGGTACTTACATTGTCGTGGTCCAGATAATAAATGAGGTGAGTTAAATATAACATATATTCAGCAGTAAAAAATATTAAGAGAAAAAGTAAAACAGAAGAACATAAAGCATTTGAGAAGGGAATTAGGGTTTTAGATGGGGTAGCCAGGGAAGGCATCCTGAAAAGGTAATAATAAAGATTTGAAGGAAGTAAAGGGGCTATTCATGCATATAATTGAGGAGGCTATTTATGCATATAATCTAGGCAGCGTGGCCAACAGTTTAAAAAGTCTTGAGGTGGGACAAACCATAAGTGACTCTTAATCTCACAAAACAAACAGAGGGTTGCTGGGGGGAGGGGGGTTGGGAGAGGGGGGTGGGGTTATGGACATTGGGGAGGGTATGTGCTGTGGTGAGTGCTGTGAAGCGTGTAAACCTGGCGATTCACAGACCTGTACCCCTGGGGATATAAATACATTATATGTTTATAAAAAAATTTTTAAAGTCTTGAGGTGGGAACATGTCTGTTACAGCAAAGAGGTTGGTGTGGCTGAAAAAGAGCAAATGAAATGAAGACTAGTGAGAAATGAGAGAAGGTAAGTGGAGGGAAGGGGGCAGATCAGGTTGAATCTTATGGGCCATATTATGATTTTGGCTTTCACTGTGAATGAGCTGGGAAGCTATTGGAGATTTTTGATCATGGGAGTGATCTTACCTGTTTAAGATATAAGTGGATCACTTTGGCTGCTCTGATAAGAGAACTATAGGAGGAAGGCTGGGGGGGGGGTCAAGGCCAGAAGCAGAAAGACCAATTAGTACAATAAGTACAATAATCTAGGGAAAAGATGTCGATGATCTGGACCAGAGTAGTAAAAATGGTGAGAAGTCATGTATTAGATATAATTTAAAGATAGAGCTGATACAGTTTGCTGATGGAACTGATGTGGAATGTAAGTGTGACAAGATAACAAAATATTTTTTAATCTGAGCAACTTGAAGAATGGAGTTATCATTAACTGAGAAAGGAAAGACAGTAGGAAAAACTGACTTGGGGCATAAGGATATCATGAGATTTCAGTTTGGAATTTAGTATATGAAGCATGGGATGTCCACTAGACATCCAAGTAGAGATACTAAGTTGGCAGTATGATATATAAGTCTGAAGTTCAAAAGGATCTAAGATCTAGGCTGAAGACATAAATTTGGGTATTATCAGTATATAGATTATATTTAAAGTGAATTTACTGAATGAGATCAGTTAGAGGGTAAGATAGATAGAAAAAGGTAGAGGTAAAGGACTAGTGTCTGGATCAGTCCAATAAAGTCTAGTAAATGAGGAGGAACCAGCGAAGAGGATTGACAGGAGCTAGTTGGAATGGTTGGAGGGAGGGTAGGTGAGTTTGATTTCCTGAAAACGAAAGGAAAAATGTGTGTTAAAAAGAACTGTGTCAGTGCTGTTGATAGGCCAAAGTAAAATGAGGACTGTGAAAAGAATGTTGACATTAGCAACATGAAAGTCATTGGTGATCCTGAAGATCAGTTTCAGTGGAGTAATGGGGCTAAAGAGAAAAATGGAGAAGAAAATTGGAGCTACATGGGGCGCCTGGGTGGCTCAGTGGGTTAAAGCCTCTGCCTTCGGCTCAGGTCACAATCCCAGGACCCTGGGATGGAGCCCCACATGGGGCTCCGTGCTCAGCAGGGAGCCTGCTTCCTCCTGCCCCCACCCCCGCCTCTCTGCCTACTTGTGATCTCTGTCAAATAAATAAAATATTTAAAATAAATAAATAAATTACTTTTTTTAAAAAATGGAGCTACAAAGTATAGACAACCCTTCAAGTTTTTCTCTGTAAATGGAAAAGGGAGGGAAATGGAGGGGTAGATGGAGTTGGATTTAACCAGAGTGTTGGTTTCATGAACTAATTAGGAATAATGTGAGAGGCAAGAGTGTCTAAATTGGCAGGAATTATATTGATTGACTGTGAATTTTAGGCCAGATATGTAGAAAAGTCAGGATAGGAAGGTGAGGGATAGTGGAAAATTGGTAGAACAGAGGAATGGAAGTTCTGATGGGGTTGGAGAACTGTTGGGTTGGTTGTAAGGTGGAGAGATTGGAGGATATTTGCCCTTTAGTTGTCCACTGTTTTCAAAATAGAACTGTCTTCCTTTTTACCAACATACCAGTTTAAGAAAACATGAGAGATTATCAGCTACATTTCAGTAGGGGTTACAAAATGATTTCTATCTATATTCCTTCTTCATTTACTGGCTGGAATATTTTTTTAAAGAAAAAATTTCTGTCATCAACTCTTTGGTTACCTTGAGGAAAGTTTTTACAGGAAAAGTAGAATAAATCGATTCTTTCCCTTTTTAGGTTTTCAGGCTATTGAATTGGTTTCTTAGCATTTCCCAGTGAATGATTATTTTACTGTTACATACACATCAATTTTAACATACTTGAAATGATTCAAACCATTGTGGTTATTTCCTTTGTGAAGCTCAAATTTTCCCATCTTTGGTTATCTCTTTGAGAGGCCTCTAAGTCTTTCCAACACATCTCCAGAAGTCTTTGATAATGTTCTGTGTTCTGTTATGAAGGGTTATTCCAAGATCATTTTGAACATTTCCTGCCCTAGGCATGGAATCAAGCATTTCTTTATGGTCAACTAATCTACAACAAAGCAGGAAAGAATATTCAATGGAAAAAAGAAAGTCTTTTCAGTAAGTGTGTTACTTGGGTTACTTGTGTTAAATGGGTACTTTTTTTTTTTTTTTTGAAGGGCACAAACTACCAATATATTTTTTTTTCATAGTACTTTTGGCAAAGTTTATTCATCCATGTATTAAAGGTATTTTTTTAACTTTTAATAGTCATTTTTTTAATTTCTTTTCAGTGTAACAGTATTCATTATTTTTTGCACCACACCCAGTGCTCACAAACTGCCAATATTTACTCAATAAGAAATAATCTGAATCGTATATTTATTAAGGAAATTGAATTTGTGTTTAAAAACCCATGATACCGGGGCACCTGGGTGACTCAGTGGTTTAAAGCCTCTGCCTTTGGCTCAGGTCATGATCCCAGGGTCCTGGGTTCGAGCCCTACATCGGGCTCTCTGCTCAGCAGAGAACCTGCTTCCCCTTCTCTCTTCTGCCTGCCTCTCTGCCTACTTGTGATCTCTGTCAAATAAATGAAATCTTTAAAAACAAAACAAAACAAAACAAAAACCCCATGATACCAAAAGCAAAAGCAAGGAAATTAAAAACAAACAAGTGGGACTACATAAAACTAAAAAGCTTATGCACAGCAAAGGAGACCAAGAAAATGAAAAAGCAGTCTCCTAAATGAGAGAAAATATTTACAAATCACATACCTGATAAAGGAGTTTATAAATATATAAAGAACTGATAAAACTCAATAGCAAAAAACCCCAAACAATCCAATTTTTAAAATGGGCAGGAGAGCTGAATAGGCATTTTCCCAAAAAAGACATACATACATACAGATACATGAAAAGGTCAAGTGATATTCAGCAATTAGTGATCTGGAAGTGCAAATCAAAGCCACAATGAGGTGTCACCTCACATCTGTTAGAATGGCTATTATTGAAAAGACAAGGAAAAACAAGTGTTGGCAAGGATGGGGAGAAAAAGAAACACACTTATGCATTGTTGACTGGAATGTAAATTGGTAGAGCCACTATGGAAAATCGTTGAAGGTTCCTCAATAAATTAAAAATATAAATGATCCAGCAATTGTACTTCTTAGTATTTATCTGAAGAAAACAAAAACACTAATTTAGAGAGATTCATATACTCCCATGTTTGTTGCAGCATTATTTACAGTAGCCAAGATATGGATACAACCTAAGTGTCCCATTGATAGATGAATATGTAAAGAAAATGTGTGTGTGTGCATGCAAGTGCACATACATACATACATAACAATGGGATATTATTCAGTCATAAGAAAGGATGAAATCTTGCCATTTGTGACAACATGGATGGACCTCGAGGGCATTATGCTAAGTGAAATAAGTCAGAGAAAGAGAAGTACTATATAATTTCTCTTTTATGTGTAATCTAAAAAAATAAAAAAACAAATGTCACCCTAAGATACCAAGCTCATTGATAAAGAGAACAGACTGATGGTCACTAGAGGCAGGGGGTTGGGTAGAGGATGAAAGAAATAGGTGAAGGTAGTCAAAAGGTACAAACTTACGGTTTAAACTTAAGCCCTAGGGATGTAATGTACAGCACGGTGACTATAGTTAACAATATGGTATTGCATGTGTGAAAGTTGCTAAGATAGTACATCTTAAAAGTTTTCACACAATAAAAAAATTCTTGTAACTATGTAAGGTGATAACTAGATGTTAACTAGACTTATTTTGGTGATCCTTTCACAATGTACTCAAATATTGAATCATAATATTGTACACCTGAAACCTATATAAGGCCGTATGTCAACTAGACCTTTTTTTTTTTTTTAAGATTTTATTTATTTATTTGACAGAGAGAGAGAGTGAGCACAAGCAGGGGGAGCAGGAGAGAGAGAAGCAGACTCCCTGCTTAGCAGGGAGCCTGATGCAGGGCTCGATCCCACAACCCTTGGGATCATGACCTGAGCCAAAGGCAGACAGATGGGTAACTGATTGAGCCACCCAGGCACCCTTAATTATACCTTAATAAACGAAAAGACTTTCTAAAAAGGAAACTACACACCCAGATGATTTCACAAGTGAAATAGCAAACAACTAAGAAAGAAATCATAACAATTGTATATAAACTTTCCCAGTAAGTAGAAGAACACTTGTGAGCTGAACACTTGCCAACTCATGTTATGAGACCACCCTTACCCTGGTACCAAAACCAGACAGAGACCTTACAAGAAAAAAAAATGCAGACTAGTATTTCTCATGGACTAAAAACAAAAATCTTCAACATAGAAATGAAAAATTGAATCTAGCAATATAAAAAGGATAATATATCATGTCTAAATGGGTTGTTCATTTTGGGAATACAAAATAATTTTTTTAAAGATTTATTTGAGAGAGAGAGAGCATAATTGGGGTTGGGGGCAAAGGGAGAGGGAAAAAAAATCCTCAAGCAGACACCCCACTGAATGGGGAGCCCAGTGCAGGGCTCAATTCCAGAAACCTGAGATCATGACCTGAGCCAAAATCAAGAGTTGGCCACTCAACTAACTGAGATACCCAGGCACCTCCAGATAAATTTTAAGTTCATTATTTGAAAATTAGTTATTGTAATTCACCAGAAGAGAGTAAAGAATTATATGATCATTTTGATAGATGCGAAAGAAGCACTTGACAAAATTCAGCATTTATTCATGAAAAAAATAATTCTCAGCAATTTAAGAGCAGAAGGGAATGTTCTTTATTAAAGGTCCAAAAAAAAAAACACCCCAATACTAGAGCTTAGATTATACTTAGTGTTGAGATAATGCTTTACCTCTAAGATTGGCAACAAAGTGAAGATGTCCTCAGACCACCATTTTTCACCGTTACATGGAAGTCCTAACTAGTGCAATAAAGCAAGAGAAAGACAAAGACACACAAATCAGAAAGGAAGAAATACAGCTGTTTCTGTTGGAGACAACACAACTATTTAGATAGAAAACCTCAAAAGAATCTACAAAAAAGCTCCTAGACCTCTTATATGAATTTAGCATGGTTGTAGGATACATAATCAGTATATAAAGTTAAATCATTTTTATATTCCAGCAATGAACAATTTGAATTTGAAATAAAAATTTATTAGCATGCCCCAAATTAAAATACTTAAAAATAAATCTCACAGAATATGTGTAGACCCTGTATGCTGAAAATGAAAAAAACTATGATGAAAGAAATAAAAAATAAGTGGAGAAGTATACTATATTCATGAATTGAAAGACTCTTATTTTCATTTGATCTTTAATTTGATCTATAGATTAAATGCAATCTCAGTCTCGTTCTTAGCAATCTTTCTTATAGATAGCAATGAGGATGGAGGTGGAACCTAAAATGGAAGGCAGAATGAGACAAATTTATTTACATGTACTATTATATAAATGTAGGACCTAACTGTGTTGAAGGTGACATAGAAGAAACCCTCTTTAAATAAGAGCTCTCATTTCTTTTCATCATTTGTAAGCCCTTAACTAAAATATAATTTTTGTTGAACCATCCTTCACATTCACATACTGCTGCTATTAGAATTTTTTTTTTTTTTTTTTTTTTTTTTAATTTGAGAGAGAGAGCAGAGCAGGGTAGGGGCAGAGGAAAAGAGAATCCCAAGCAGATTCCCCGCTGAATGGGAACCCGGTGCAGGGCTCGATCCCAGCACCCTGAGATCATGACCTGAGCCTGATGTGGCGCTCAATCCCAGGACCCTGATATCGAGACCTGAGCTGAAGGCAGACGCTTAACCAGTGGAGCCACCTAGACGCCTCTGCTGCTATTAGAAATTCTGTGATGAAATCCATCATGGGGCACCTGGGTGGCTCCGTTGGTTAGGAAGGGAAAGAGGAAAGAGTAGAGGGAGTCCTGATTGGTGTCCACTCTTCAGCTAGTTGATGAATTCAGTTCACCATAAGCAATTGCTTTTAAATAAAATAATTCTCTTTTAATCTGTACCCATGCCCACCTTTTAATAGACCGATGTCCACTACAGAACTGGAACTGTTCTGTTGTCAGAATGTGCTGGTATGCACCTCCAGGCCTAAGGGGCTGCTATATTCAGGAGATGTGCTGGTGTGCACCAGCACAGAATGTGCTGGTATGCACCTCCAGGCCTAAGGGGCTGCTATATTCAGGAGATAATATGCAGAAAAATAAAATACCACAAATTTTTCCGTATCTCTTCTCCCCTAGTAAATACCTTAACTCCTGTTATCCAGTATTGTGTCACATTGTAACTCAGAGCTGCAAGGGTTGCTGGAAAAGCGGGTAACAGGAAAAGGGGAATAGGATTACCTTCACTGTCCTGAATCAATCATGATTCATCCTTGGGAGAATGTATATTGCCATGTGAAAAAATTAAAGTTCAGTTTTCAAGGAATAAAGTGAGGACAATTGGCTATTGTTGGTAACATTATCTGCCACATATAGTCTTTTGGAATATGCTGGTTCTCTATCCTTAGCAAGGTATCAAATTTTCTTTACAGAATTTTGCACTGTTACTGCTGGGGAACTACTGAGACACCCATTTTATTCTGCTGTTCTCTCTCTTTTTTTTTTTATTTGAAAGACAGACAGTGAGAGGGAACACAGGCAGGGGGAATGGGAGAGGGAGAGGGAGAGGGAGAGGGAGAAGCAGGCCTCAAGCTGGGCAAGGAGCCCAATGTGGGGCTAGATCCCAGAACTCTGGGATCATGACCTGAGCGGAAGGCAGGCACATAACTAATGAGCCACCCAGGTGCCCCTCTGCTATTCTCTTTTAAGGATTGATTATAATGGTTCTAAGAATGTGGGGTTCCCAGGGTCACAGTGCTTATTAGTCGTAGAGAGACTAGAAAGCAAATCTCTGCTCCCAAGTCACTGTTCTTTCCTACTATAATTCATCTGTCCTAAAGCTTTTCTAAAAAGATGCTTTAAGAAAAAACTTCAGATGAGTGACAAAAATCAATTACAATCCAACAACAACCAAAAAAATTTTTTTTACTTAAAGTAAAACTGGGAAAGGAACTGTGCATGGGGCGGGGGAGGACATCTGTGTTGTTCATTATACACTGTAGTACTGATTGCAATGGTATGTGTTTTCTTGATTAAATTTTATTTTGGAGAAAATAATAGGTGAATTTTTATTTTAAAAACTGAAATGATGCTACTAGACTTGTAATAATATGAAAAACTATGTCCTGTTTCTTTTTTCCCCATCCCTAATTCCTGTTTCTAATGAGAAAGCACTTTCAGCTCCTAAGTGTGATTTCTTATATTTTCTTCAATTTTTCCAAATCGCATGTTTATCTTGTTATTATTTGACACTTTACGGATTTATATGTAAATCTGTATTTACATATTTACTATGTAAATCTGTATTTTTACTATTTTTTACTATGACAAATAAGAATTTAACTCTCTTACCACCACAAATATTTCTGATACACATCACTCAGACACACAAACTTCTTCTTACTCCTTCTTTGAAATACCATTTTGGGTAAATTCCTATTTAATTGGTAATGTCTCAATACATTAAAATACCTTATATATTTTGTCAGTTTCATAATTTTCTTGGTTATGTTCTTTCATGAAGCTATATAGCTTACTGTTCCTTGTGAACTGTTTTGTTTTGTTTTCTGATACAGAGCTATTGACAAATTCATGGGACATCTCCCACATACGAGCTCTTATTCTGACCCACCTTATGCCTAAGCTATGCATGATCATTCTAGTCATCCTTATACCTGTCAGAACCTCTGGTATGAATATTCTTGGCCTTTCTGATGGATCCAAGAATCATTTACAGGGTGACTTTTAATCCACCGTGTGGGTGCAGGTTTCTGAAACCACAAAGTGTGCCTGGTCTAATGGCTTTTCTTCTCTTTCACAGCTTTGCCTTTTCAGGCCCTGTCTATTACCAGAAAGAGGAAATGACTGAATCCCAGGTAAGTTTTAAGTAGTGTATTTGTTCTCTACTATATTCTGGAGTGTAGTTTAAAAGGATTACAATAATCCGTACAGTAAATTGGAAAATCCTATATAGATAAACTTTGTCAGAGGAAATAAAGTTGGAAGATTAAGACCAGGAAAGAGTTAAAATATGGTAATGCAGAAAGATATTCATCTAGAGAGATTAAAGTTGGGCTTCAGTTTTCAGTTTCATTATTATAGGTGAAACAAACCAGCGCAAAAATTCATGACATAATTTGCATTGTAAATAAAGATTAAAATGAACTTTTCTTAGGAGAAGTAAGCTCTTCTTTGGCACCTAGGTGAATGAATATATTAGAGTGTGACCTCTTATAGTTGACAAATCCAGCTATTGTGATGGTCTGTTTTGATAAAGGATAAAACAAAGTATATATGTTAAAAAATAGCCAGCATAGGAAAGAATGCGAATGAAGATTATCAGAAAAAGGGATTAATTATCCTTTGCATGCAAAGGAAGACCACACAGCAATTTTTTTTAAACGGCAGATACTGCTTACCCACAACAATATAGATAAATTTCAGAAACATTGGAGTGAGAGAAGCCAGAAACAAAAGATACGGTTCCATTTATATGCAATTTGAAAGCTGGGAAAACTAATCTCCTGTGATAGAAATCAGGATAGTAGTTACCTTAAGAGGATAGTAACTGGGAAGGGGTGGGAGAGAATCTTCTGGAGTGCTGAAAATGTGGTTGTTTTGACCTGATTACATAAATATTTAAATGTATAAAAGTGTATCATGTACATTTAAGATTAGTGCATCTTAGGGGTGGCGTCTGCCTCAGTCAGTAGAGCATGTGACGCTTGATCTTGCAGTTTTGAGTTTGAGCCCCACATTAGGTGCACAGATTACTTAAAAATAAAATCTTAAAAAAAAAGGTTAGTGCATTTCACCACATTATTCTATATGTGTCATATATGATTTTAAAGAATACTAGAATGTCCGAAGAAATAGATGAGATATGTGTATCTCAAATGACCCTACATAATTATATTTTTTCGGTGGGTATTTACTGTAGATTGGGCCACAGTCTAATAATTTCTGGTAAATTTAGTCCACTGAAATGTGAACAGAGAATATGCTTTATTTGGTTTACTGATGTGTCTCCAGCCCCTAGAACATTCTGTGCCTTGTATACATAGTTTTTGTGAATATTTGTGGTTTTAATGTCTTGAATCCATGGTTCCTTGTTTTTTTACTCTTAAAATAAGTGATATTGGGATGCCTGGGTGCTCAGTCAGTTAAACAAGTGCCTTCAGCTCATGTCATGATCTCAGGATCCTGGTATCAAGCCCTGCATCGGAGCCCCACATTGGCTCCCTGCTCAGCGGGGAGTCTACTTCTCCCTCAGCCCTTCCCCCTTATGCTCTCTCTCTCTCTCAAATAAAATCTTAAAAAAAAAAAAAGTAGTTGATGTCCACCTCCTCTTCAAGGATAATTCCTTTTCCTCAGAACTTTCTTTCTTTCATACTTTCTTTGGAATCTTTATCTTTCAGTTTTATCCTGCACTCTTAGCTATTAAACATATCTCACTTTACTGCTTTTTCATCCTCAGGTCAAAGTTTTCATATACTGAGATATACCTTCCTTTGACTGTGTATCCGTATATAGCAGCTTCTCTATATATCCAGTTTTTTTCTTCAAACACATTAATTTTTAAAGTGAACACACTGTCAGTGTGTAACTTGCAAAAGCAATAGATCGAGAATTAGAACATTACCCTAACAACCATGAGATTTCTTCTGCACTTTTCTAAAGTCATTACCCCTACCCCAGGGGTAACCACTATTCAATTTCTATCACTACAGATTATATCTGCCCGAGTTTGAACCTCATTAATATATATATATACTCTGTGTCTGGCTTCTTTTGACCAATACTGTGTGTGTCCGATTCATGTTGAATTATTGCATGTAGTTATAGTTTGGTTAATTTCATTGCTTTATATTACTCACTTATGTGAATAAACCATAATTTTATTTATCCATTCTATTTTTGATTGCCATTTAGGTAGTTTTTATTTGAGGACAATTACAAATATTGCTGCTATGAATTGTCTTATAGCTGTCTTTTGTTGCACGTATGTACACTTTCTTTTGTATATAAACCAAAAATAGAATTTCTGAGTTATAGGTCGTATACATAGGTTACCTTTTATTGATACTGCCAAACGGTTTCTGAAGTGACTGTCCAAAATTTCACTTTAAAAGAAAGGAAAAGTCGGGGCGCCTGGGTGGCTCAGTGGGTTAAGCCTCTGCCTTCGGCTCAGGTCTTGATCTCAGGGTCCTGGGATCGAGCCCCGCATCGGGCTCTCTGCTCGGCAGGGAGCCTGCTTCTCCCTTTCTCTTTCTGTCTGCCTCTCTGCCTACTTGTGATCTCTCTCTGTCAAATAAATAAATAAAATCTTTAAAAAAAAAAAAAAGGAAAAGTCTGTGTGTTAATATCAGGTATGATAAAAGTCAAAACAGTAAGCTTTAAACAAAAAGAACAGAGCTTTAAAATGAGTGCAATAGATAATACAGTTCAATGGTTTAGGACTGCTTCCTTATCAGATAACCAACAGCAAATTTACTGTAAGTAACACTGAAAATAAGAAGATATGTATTGGTAGGGAAACTTTCATTAATGTCTTAACTCATGCTAGATGAACTAGATATAAAAAAATGTATCTACCAATAATAATTTGATAGAGCTAATAGATTAAGGTAGCTTATAGCCTCGAAACAGTTATTATTCCTTCTTTGGATATGAAATAACTTAAAAACTGACCATGTATTAGGCATGAGTAAAATTCAGTAAATTTCAAAAGTAGAAACTGTACATTTCAGTAGTTCCACAATGCAATTAAATATGAAGTTAATAATAAAAGATTCAAAAAGAAAAACATTCACATGGAAATTTTTGAACTAGCATAAACAACCCAGACCAACAGGGACTTAAAAATTTATGTTGCAGAACATCTTTTTTTTTTTTAATTTTATTTATTTATTTGACAGAGATCACAAGCAGGCAGAGAGGTAGGCAGAGAGAGAAGAGGAAGCAGGCTCCCCGCTGAGCAGAGAACCTGATGTGGGGCTTGATCCCAGAACCCTGGGATCATGACCTGAGCCAAAGGCGGCAGAGGCTTTAACCCACTGAGCCACCCAGGCACCCCGTTGCAGAACATCTTTAAAAATTAAACAATGCGCAGGGGCACCTGGATGACTCAGTGGATTAAGCCTCTGCCTTCGGCATAGGTCATGATCTCAGGGTCCTGGAATTGAGCCCTGCATCCTGCTCTCTGCTCAGCAGGGAGCCTGCTTCCCCCTCTCTCTCTGCCTGCCTCTCTGCCTACTTGTGATCTCTCTGTCAAATAAATAAAAAAATTTTTTTAATCTTTAAAAAAATAAAACAATGCGCAGAAGAAAAGCTACAGCCTGAAAAAATGTTAATAAACGTATTAGAATGAAATGAATGAACAAAATATACCATTCTAGTAATTAGAAACAAAATGAGAAAATTTAAAAAGGAATTGGTAAGAATAAAGTTTAAGTCAGTGAGCTAGGAAAACACAAAATAATAGAACTAATAAAGAGCTGCTTTTTTCTCTTTTTTTCTTCTTTCTTTCTTTATTATTTTAAAATCTAAGAAGAGGGAGGGAGAAGTAGAATAAGCAGCCACATATGCAGCTCCCCAGATTAGCAGATTTTAATCTTTTGTCATTTTTGCCTCAGGATTTTTTTTTTTTCAACAAAGTAATCAGAATATTACAGATACTTTGTCTCACAGGCAGTCACTTTTATGAATGTTATCTATATCCATAGAGCTCATAGTTTCATATTTTTACCACATGATTTTGTATATATAAACACTACTTGAAGTTGTTCTATGTTTCAGATTTTTAAATAACTGGGAACCCGATGGATTTAGAGTTCTGCAACTCATCTTTTTTTTCATTCCACATTGTGTTTTCAGACCCATTCATGTTAGTATATGTATTTCTGACTTTATGTCCTTTTCCATTGTTTTGATTTCCTGTGTCAATCCCGCTATATCTTAATTACCATATATAGTTATAAAAATATTTATTTGATAATGCAAGTTAATCCTTCATCTTTTTCTTCTTCAGCATTGCCTTAGCTACTTGTAGCTACTTATATTTCCTTATCGATTTTAGAATTAGTCTATTTCCACAATTAAAACTGCCGAGATTTTGACATTGAATTACATTCAAAAATATATTATCTGCGAGTGAACAGTTTTCTTCATTTTAAATTCTCATGCCCCCTTTTTTTCTTGCCTAATTTTGATTGTTAAATGTAGTATAATGTTGAATAGATGTGGTGGTGAGTGATCTTTGTCCCATTCTGTTTTAGGAGTATATATTCAGTAATTATGAGTAAGTATGATAATTTGGTATAGGTATTTTTGTAAATACTCTTCTGGTTCAAAGAAATTTCCTTGTATTCCTAGTCTGCTAAGAGTGTCAGTCATAAATTGGTGTTAAGTTTTGTCAAATACTTTTCGTGTATATATGATCTTGATCAAAGTTTTCTCCATTTTTCTGTTAATTTGGTTAATCATGAAACTAACTTTGGTGGGTGTATACTCACTTGGGTTTTTCCTGGAGAGTTAATATAGTAGATTATAATAAGGTATGTTTGACAGACATCAGAACTTTCTTGAAAGCAGATTTTGGTAGGTTGACTTCTGGCATTAGAAGGTAGGGTGGAACCAAGATATAAGTGCCTTTGCAAACCTGTTTTATTTAGCAGTTCCTGTAGTGCCTACCACAAGTGCTCAGTGAATGCTCTTTGGACAAAGATGTCCAAAACCATGAAGATGAATTTTGTCTAATGCCAGTGTGATTCTAGTAAGGTCAATTTTGTGACTATAAATTCTTCAGAGAATTTGAACATTGTCAGACTCTCATTTACCTCCTCACAGCATCCATATTTTTTGTCTATTAACTTTA